AAGGAGGTGGTAAAATTATTGCTATTTACAGTTTATATGACTACATACTTGGAAACTCTCAAAGAATCAACCAAAAAAATTATTAGAAACAAAAAGACTATTATTGCAGTTGAATATAAAATTGGTATAGAAAATCACTACATTTATATATACAATCAGTTGAGAAATAAAAATTCTTTGACTCACATTCATCAAAGCATTTGTTCTTTTCTGAATGAAATTAATGCTACTTGGAACATTACTACAGCATGTGTTTTTGTTCAATAATATCTAATGACTTGAACTAAAAAAATATATGTCCTAGCAGCAAATACTTGGAACTTCAATATAATAGAATCACACAGAGGACAGCTTCAACATTTTAAAACCTCAATATTCAGTGTTTCACTGTACTCAAACTAAAAATACTAAAAGTTGAAATATAGCAGAATATCTCAATTCAATCAATATAACTAAACCTTCCTTACTTTGGGTAAAGAATTAACATTCTATAAACCTGGTGGTTTTTCACCAACCTTCATATTATACAACATTATTTTGTTACCTCTTTCGCCCTTTCTGCCAAACTTGTGTTCTTTTTCAAACAACCGTATCATAAGCCCTATCCAATTTATAAAAATGTTTTTAGATGAGATTTAGCAATATATAAATCTAACGATGAGCTGGGCATGGTGGCTCATGCCTGTAATACCAACACTTTGTGAGGCCGAGATGGGCAGATCACTTGAGGCTAAGAGTTCAAGACCAACCTGGTCAACATGCTGACACCCCATCTCTACTAAAACAAACAAACAAAAAAACACACAAAAAATAGACAGGAATGTTGTGAATGCCTATAATTCCCACTACTTAGGAGGCTGAGGCAGGAGAGCTTGAGCCTGGGAGGCAGAGGATGTAGTGAGTCAAGATTTCGCCATTTCATTCCAGCCTGGGCAAGAGTAAAAACTCTGTCTCAAAACAAAACAAAACAAAACAAAAACAAAAGCTAAAGTTGAATTGATATACAGGTCTTAATATTTATAACTATGTCGACTCCTTTGTCAGCTTATTTAACCACCAAAGACTTCAGCAAAAATTACCTTCATGTTTAGGCAAAATAGTAACAATGATTTATTTTGATGTAAAAAATAAGAATTGAGTACTTCTTGCTTTTGGGTTTTTTTTTGGGGGGGCATATAACTCAACACCATTTTTCCTTACAAATGTCTTCTTTATTATATATAAAAGCCTTATCTAAAAATTCCTTTTGAGGTTATTTCTGGGCCTGTCGCCCAGGTTGGAGTGCAGTGGCTTGACCTCGGCTCACTGTAAGCTCTCCCTCCCGAGGTTCATGCCATTCTCCTGCCTCAGCCTCCTGAGTAGCTGGGACTAAGGAGCCCACCACCATGCTGGGCTAATTTTTTGTATTTTTAGTAGAGACAGGGTTTTACCGTGTTAGCCAGGATGGTCCCGATCTCCTAACTCGTGATCCACCCACCCTGGCCTCCCAAAGTGCTGAGATTATAGGCGTCAGCCACCCCGCCTGGCTAAAATACACTTGTATTCTTATTAGTGTATCATGAAACAAACATTTAACTTTCTTCAAAAGGTTACAAATTATGTTTGTCAACCTAGCTGGATTGAGGAAATACCTAACATGTGCTACTTGTGGGGAGAGACAGGAGGCATGAAAATTATATAAGAACAAATCCCTATCCTTAAATGGCTTTCAATTTAAGTGTAGATACAAGAAGAGAAATAGGAATATGATCACCTTCCTCAATTCCCTTGCTTAAATTTCTTCCCCAACAACCCCATTTTGAGAGGCAAAAACAAACCAAATAAGAAAATTATGGCTAACTCCTTTGGGAAGGTCAATACCTCAGGATGATGATCAGTCTCTAAAATTACAGGGAATGACATGTCTAGAAAGTTAAAATTTATAAAAGTAAGGTATCCAGAAGTAAAAGTCTACAAGATTGCTTGTAGCATTAGTTAACACAGAAACAAAACTTAATGGTTGCTGACAGAAAATGAACCAACTCCTGGCCGGGCGCGGTGGCTCAAGCCTGTAATCCCAGCACTTTGGGAGGCCGAGACGGGCGGATTACGAGGTCAGGAGATCGAGACAATCCTGGCTAACACGGTGAAACCCCGTCTCTACTAAAAAGTACAAAAAACTAGCCGGGCGAGGTGGCGGGCGCCTGTAGTCCCAGCTACTCGGGAGGCTGAGGCAGGAGAATGGCGGGAACCCGGGAGGCGGAGCTTGCAGTGAGCTGAGATCCGGCCACTGCACTCCAGCCTGGGCCACAGAGCGAGACTCCGTCTCCAAAAAAAAAAAAAAAAAAAAAGAAAATGAACCAACTCCCAAGGTAATGCGTATTTGCCAGAATAATGCAGAAATACAAAATTGTAACTTTACGTAACTCAAACCTTCCCTCAATATGGTGTGTAGTCTTAATGACTCCTACAAAATAAATTCAGCACTTATATTATGATTTAAGTTTCAGTAATACTTGAAAAGATCAGAGGGAGATAAATATACTGTTGAATCTGAAAGGCAGAAAAACAAGTGGAATTATACTAAACTCCTCCATATTATATTCTGAAGTAAAAATATAATAAATTTCAAAGGATGTTATATAGAGTATTGATATTCTACCATAAAGAATAATTTTGGAATAGTTATACAATATATGCTCAGTCCTGATCCATGACCTTTCCAGTAAAAGCATTTGGGAAACTGGGAATGTGTAGACAGCAGTCACTTTTTACAGATATCAGGTAGATTTCTAAACTATATAATCAATGTAGACAGTGTTGAGCAAAACAACATACTTTATTGTCCCTTTTGCCTCTAAGTCTTTAAGTAAATCCGAGTCCAGACCTCAAAACTGTTTGCTATAATTTAGATATTTGATCCTCCAAACCTCATATTGAAATTTGTCCCCCAGTGTTGGAGGTGGGGCCTAATGGGAGGTGTTTGGGTCACGGGGGCGGATCTCATGAACAGATGAATGTCCTCCCTAGGGCATTGTGAGAGTTTGCCCTCTATTAGTTCCTGAGAGAGCTGGTTGTTAAAAAGAAACTGGCACCTCCCCTATCTCTTGCTTTCTCTCTCACCAAGTGATCTCTGCATATGCTGTCCCCCCGTCACCTTCCGCCAGGAGTGAAGCAGCCTGAGGCCCTCACCAGATGCAGATGCTGGTGCCATACTTCTTGCACAGTCTACAGAACCATGAGCCAAATAAACCTCATTTCTTTATAAACTACCCAGCCTCAGGTATTCCTTTATAGCAACACTAACAAACTAAGACACTGTTTCCCAAAGAAAAAAGTCCAGGGATAAGCTCACATTGCACACAAAAGGCAACAATTCATGTTACACACATAAGAAAATGTCCTGTATTAAGTCTTCTTTCTTTTTACCACATCCACTTTCAAATTGTGCTTTATTTCATGCTTTTTTGATTGTCATCGATCAGAAGGACAATGTTATTCTTTGTTGGATAACCAGTCTTTGCTTCAAAAAGTGAAAAGCTCACTAAAATAGAAGCTACTACAGTTGAGAACGAGGTCACAAATATCAATGAGACAAAGTGAAAAATGGCTATGAAGCTAAACAAGCCAAGATATACTAGATGCAGGTGATGCAGAAAAATCAGAGCGACACAGTAAGGATTAGAAAGCTTCATACCCAAAATATCAGAAAGATTGAATTGAAGAAATTACATTTTTTAAAGAAATAAAGTTTTCCTGCTTCTAAAGAACAATTAGTATATAATTTATTTGCCCCCCAAAAAACTTTTATGAATCATAATAGCAAATCTAAATCATAGTTTTTGGATAGCCATTATAATTAACACAGTAGAGTTCCCTATCAGACATTCCATTACAACTAGATACAAGTCTTTTATGATCAAAAAAATTAATCTTTATATGGAAATAGATGTAAAGTGCATTTCTGAGTGTTTAAAAGTACTTAAATCAACTAAACATCTCATTCTACTTTGTAAATTGCTTTTCTCTCCTCTTATGAAAAAAGTATAAGGGAAACAAGGAAAAGGGGCTCACAATTATAAAATCCACTACTACTGGGATAAAAGCATTCCAAAAGATTTCAAAACGTGAAAACAAAGAAATTAGCAGAGACAATTATTTTGCAATATTATGAAAGCACTCAATTTCAGCTCTTGTAGCTACATACAAACTTATAATTTTACAAGCTTCAGGAGTTCCAATTTGAAAATATGCCCTGCACTAAAGACTAAACAAACACATTTTTTATAGTAGTACCCAGACTGAGGCAATGCCCCTATTAAATGCTCCCATAGCATTTTACACTTCTCTTTTATAACATTCATCATACTCATTACTTAATGTTTGCAGTCTAAGATACACAGTCAGAGAGTTTTGTATTTTTATGTACCATACACCATTATAATCCAATGTCTAAACAATTGGTACCCATAAATACTTGTTGACTGAAAAAACAAAGTTTTTATCAAATTGTCTCCCAAAATTCTCAGTCATGATATACCTCCTATACAGTGCTATATTATAAAATATTTCTAAAATAAGGGTCAGTTGCTTTATAGCAGTGACTATACAGCAGTAAAAAGAAGGAAAGAGAGTTGGGGTGAATGGAATACATTCAGAATAATTTGAGCAGTTATTCTTTTGGTTTTACAAACCCTGCCCCACTTGCCATTATCCCCTACTCCACGCCCAACGCCCCTAGGGGAGCATGGTCATCTACTAGAAAATCATAAAACATTGCCATATAGAGCAATTATTACTCATATTACTAGGTAATACTCCTCAGGTATATTGGATTACAAATGAAGGTTTAAAACAATTGTTCTACTATTTTTAAAAAATCTTTTCAAATTGTGAAAGAAATTCAAACTCAATCAGATATTACCATTTAATAATAAAGAGACTGAATATATATACTAGATATACATTAAGACTCTCTAGTCAGAAAAGGAAAAGATCAACAAAAAGAATAATTTACTTACATCAATGGAAAAGCAAAAAATGGGAGTGTCATGGCAAGTCTTGCTGTAAATTCATCAGGAAGATACCACAAATATACAATTAAGCATGTAAACAGATAGAGAACTGAGGAATACAGAATTAATCTTCCAACCCATAATTTTTGTAATCTCTGATTTTTTTCCCTAAATTCTTCCAATGCTTGAATTTCCTGTTAAGAGAAAATTATTCCCTGTTAGTAAATTTCAAACTTCATAAAGAAATTAAAATGTTAAAAAATGTTAACAGGAAAGATATTTAAGAAAAAACTCTTATTTAAAGTTCAATAAAGCATAATACCCTAACCGTTTAAAACAGAACATAATATGGAAAAGAAAACTAAAACTGAAGTTAAAAATTTATAATGCTTATTCTAACAAAGCAATTTTACAATGCAAAATTAATTACTATTTTTAAACTATCAAATTGGCAAAGATTCAGGGAATGAAATTGGTATCAGCAATATTTGTTGAGTCAAATAAGTAATAATTCCTCCTATAAAAGGCATTTTAAAAATCTGGCAATAAGAAAAAGAATAAAAATTAAAACAGTAACCCATCTATTTATCACTCTCCATATTCCCAGAAAATCATTTTTTATACTATATAAAAAGCTGTGAAAATTTTGTAGACTGATAAAAACTATTATACAGTATCTCATCTATTTTGTCCTACCTGTAACATTTATTTACACCACACTACAGATCTAATTTCATTCTAATTGGCTCTGTTACTTGAAACAGACTTCTTAAGTCACTGATAGACTTTAGATTTTTTTGAGGTCACATAACATTAAAGTTCTCAGACTCACTCTATATCATTTCTCAATTCCCATACTAGATTTGGTCTCCAAAATAATATATACTACAATAATATTTATTTAATACCTAAAATGAATTAAAATACCTTACAGCCAAAGAACATACCTTATCTATACTTTCTAGAACTTCTACAGTTGAAGGTTTTGTCTGTTATAGAAACAGAAACAAGAGACAGCATTAAAACGTATCACAAACTTTTACGTTTTGATATAATCATTAAAGAACATTTATTTCAAAATTGAATTTTCTCAAATGTTATCAGGCAAATATGTATTCTTGTTTATAACTAAGATTTACTTAAATAAAAATTATAATTGCAAACAGAACTACATAAGAGTAAAGAAATAAGCATTTCCCTACTTAACTTTTTTTAATCCTAGAAAGACTTTGAATTCTGATGGCTCAATTTTTACCATTCTTAACCTCAATAAAACACACTGTTATAGAAAGAAACAAATTTTGGCCAGGTACGGTGGCTCGCGCCTGCACTTTGGGAGGCCAAGGTGAGCGGATCACTTAGGGTCAGGAGTTTGAGACCAACCTGGTCAACATGGTGAAACGCCATCTCTACTAAAAATCCAAAAATTAGCTGGACGTGGTGGCATGCGCTTGTAATCCCAGCTACTCAGGAGGCTCAGGCACGAGATTTGCTTGAACCCGGGAGCCAGACATTGCAGTGAGCTGAGATCGCACCACTGCACTCTAGCCTGGGTGACAGAGAAAGACTGCATCTCAAAAAAATTTTTAAATTAAATTAAAAAATTAAAAAACCGCACATTTTCCTCCAAAAAAATTTCTTAGGAATGATTACTCAAAAGAATTAACACATTAAAAAAATTTACAGACTAAAAATAGTCTGATTGGCTATTGCTAAAAGTTCACTTAAGACTCTGGAGGTCAAAATCAACAGGCTATCTTCATTCTAAATTCCTAAAGTACTTTTTGAAGATCAGATTTTAAAAGGACATCTAAGAATACTTCATTATAGCAAAGCTTGTTTGCCAAAGGTATTTTTTATACATCTAGAATAAAAATCAGCCAAAATCACTCATAAAACACTTGAAAAAATATTTACCAATTACATACTCAACAATCCAAGAGGGTAATGAATATCAGGTCATTGTAGTTCCCATAAGAGTTGTTAACATTAGAGTTAACCATATGAAATTGACATTTTGCTAAGCCCAAGCAGTTGAATACTGGCAATTTCATATGGTTCAACCTAATATGAAAGACAAAGCAAGAAGAGATAAATTTGATCCTTGGGCAGATTATTAAAAGGTCATAACAGGGTCAATCAATATAATGCTGATCCAAAACACGGCTGTTCCAGCAACAGCCCAAAACCTAAGTTATGTACCAAGTATAGTTAGACTCTATTATTATGGTAGTAAGGAGAAAAAAAAAATAAGTAGTTTATCCTAGACTACCTTATCTCCTCTTACATTTGAAAAAGCATTTATATAATTTTGTTTTCTTTTATTTGAGACAGAGTCTAGCTCTGTCGCCCAGGCTGGAGTGCAGTGGCAAAATCTCGGCTCACTGCAACCTTCATCTTCTGGGTTCAAGCGATCCTGCCTCAGCCTCCCAAGTAGCCGGGATTACAGGCGCCCACCACCACGCCCAGCTAATTTCTGTATTTTTAGTAGAGACGGGCTTATATAATTTATACAATTCATATTTTCGAGCTGTAACTTTGAGATACTTCCTCTAAAAGCTTATCCAATAAAATCAAACTGAATTTCTAATTTTGTTTAACCTATAAATTCTAAAAGCACATGCAGTGTGACTTTAGTCAATATTTATGATAAGCTTCAAGTAAAAAGATACAGTGTGTAAGAAACAAATATTGTATAGAATACTTTTTTTTCTTTTTTTTGAGACAGAGTCTTGCTGTCACCCAGGCTGGAGTGCAGTGGCACAATCTCGGCTCACTGCAACCTCTGCCTCCTGGGTTCATTCTCCTGCCTCAGCCTCCCGAGTAGCTGAGATTATAGGTTCACACCACTACGCCGAGCTAATTTTTGCATTTTTAGTGGAGACAGGGTTTCACCATGTTGGCCAGGCTGGTCTCGAACTCCTGAACTCATGATCTGCCCACCTCGGCCTCCCAAAGTGTTGGGATTACAGGCGTGAGCCACCGCACCCGGCCTAGAGTACTTATTTTCAACTACCTTTCAAATAAGCTTGAAACTTAGGAAGTATAAGAAAACAAGATAGCCATTTGCACACAAATACAGAAATACAGAAATAAAAATAATTCATACATCCAAATGAAATAATTCTGTTACACAGAGGCATTGGACACCTACAGAACAAGTGGAAGTATCAAAATAAAAAATAGAAAAGTAATTCAAAAGAGAAGAAAAAAAGTTAAGGAAAACAGCAAACTACTATTCAGGGCTATAATGAAAGGAGACTTTCACAAATAGCTTTATGTGACACTTTTATATTAGACTCAAGAACTAGCTGTAAAGAAAAGTACCTTACCCTCCATCGAGAAAATAATCCACCCATCTTTTATTTGTAGAAACTGGGCACAATGATAAATATCATCAATTGTCCAAAGGAATTCACAGCTAGAAATAAAGCAAATATTTAAAATGTTAAGTTAAACACACAGCATACCCACTATAGATGTTGCAATACTGCCTAAAAAATGTTATGAAATATTAATTTCTTTGGACTCCACATATATGGAATTTGATATCAGACAGTTATTGGGATAGAGTCTATCTTTTTTTATTATTATTATTTTTTGAGATGGAGTCTCTCTGTGTTGCCCACGCTAGAGTGCAGAGGCGAGATCTCACCTCATTGCAACTTCCGCCTCCCAGGTTAAGCGATTCTTGTGCCTCACCCTCCTGAGTAGCTGGGACTACAGGTGTGCACCACTACGCCTGGCTAATTTTATATTCTTGATAGAGACAGAGTTTTGCTATGTTGGCCAGGCTGGTCTTGAAGTCCTGGCCTCAAGTGATCTGCCCACCTCGGCCTCCCAAAGTGCTGGGATTACAGGCGTGAGTCATCGCACACTGCCAAGTCCACCTTTTAAAAATCCATTCTTCAAAACCAGAACAGATTTAAAAGTGAAAATAAAGTTTGAAAAGCTTTTCAAATGACAATGAAGTTTAGAAATGTATATTCTTACCACTTTGCTATTTTCTATTCTTTAAAATATGTTCTCTATGTTGTTCTGGGAACAAAGTTTTACCATACTACTTTCATACTATATACTTAAATAAAATCATTTCTACCATCCAGCTGTCTCCCAACTAAACTAGTTATCTGGAGTAGGAGTGTTTTACAATGTTTAGAATATAACCTTACAAGTAATAAGAGAAAGCCGCAACCAAGTTATTAATAAGAAAATAAGGATTACAAGGCTATCTGTGACCTTTAGCAAATCACTTAATGATTCTGAGCCTTAATTTTCTTTTCTCTAAATTACAGTTAATAATACCACCACTTTCTCATAGGATAGTCTTTAGTATTACCATCTCACAGATAAGAAAACTAAGTGAAAAGAGGTTTAGTGATTTGTCCAATAGCTCAGAAGAAATATGGCCTAGAGTCCCTTTATCTTCAGATTTCTAGCCTCTATTACTAAACACTACTGTTCAATGCCCAAATAAACATTTCTCCCTAACATTGTGTACAAGTCCCTGAAGCTAGTTGACCTTCAATTCAGCTAGCTCTATAACCACTTCTTTTAGTTGTTTTTCTATGACTCTCAAATGTTTTATAACAGACTCAACAATATTATATTCTAAATCAACTTACTGGACAACGATTATGTAAATTTTTATTCTTTTAAGTTGAATTGTTAAAAGTATAATTTCAAACTGACATATTTTAACCAGGTTACAGTTAGATACTTGCCAATGTATAAAACTACTTCTTTTCCACCCCCAAAAAGGTTACCTATGTCATATTTCTCACATTTTTTAACTGTAAATGTAAACACAAAATAATACCAGTATCAAGTAAAAACACTCACTCCGCAAAATTATTTATATACCATAACTAGCATAAGACATAGCTATCTTGGAGTTTCTTAGAAAAGTAACAAAGAGCTTAACTGTAAAATACTTTTACTCACAAAGTAATTTTTAAGGACAGAAACACCTATAATCTGTCCTGAAAAACTCTAAAGTTTATAACTATAATGAATGTTTCAAGTCATATTTAAGTTGCAAGCTAAATGTTATTAATCATTTAGTATTTTCTAAAATGTGGTTGTAGAAAATCCAGGAACTTTCATGAATTAAACTATAAATTTCTATCTGAATCATGACAGTAAGTAAATCTAAAAACCCTCTTGAGATGCTAAAAATAATTACCAAAAAGGTGGGTGGAGGGAGTAGATTCATATGAATCACTTGTTATTCTCAAAATACACATCATTCCACTATTCTGGAACTAGTGTATGGTGTCTAGCAGTGTTCTGTACACAACCAACCTACATATTTTGAAGTAGAATTACATCCTTCAATGTCAAGTTTGTAACCATCACACACTGAGACTATGATCAGAATTTTTAATATTTGAAACTAATGACAACAACAATATCAAACAACAGTATCAGTTAAACACTTAGTAAGTACTTCATTTCTAGCGGCCCTAAAACAAATGCTGTGTGTGTGTGTGTGTGTGTGTGTACATTTTTTTTTTTTTGAGACAGAGTCTCACTGACACCCAGGTTGGAGTGCAGTGGTAAGATCTTGGCTCACTACAACCTCCAACTCCAGGGTTAAAGCAATTCTCCCACCTCAGTCTCCAAAGGCGTAGCTGGGACTACAGGCACGCGCCACCACACCCGGCTAATTTTTTTGTTTTTTTTTTTTTTTGGTAGAGACAGGGATTTCACCTTGTTGGCCAGGTTGGTCTCGAACTCCTGGCCTCAAGTGATCTGCCCACCTTGGTCTCTCAAAGTGCTGGGGATTATAGGCGTGAGCCACCACGCCCAGCCCAAATGCTTTATATTAATTTTAGCATTTAGATACTACTATCCCTCCATTTTAAAAATGAGAAATCTAAGAGAAGCGAAGTAGTGTGCTAAGTAATATCCCAAAGACAGTAAGCAGCAGAGCCAAACATAGTATTTTAGTTTTGATATTTTAAGCACCCAGCTATTACCAATAACACAAAATCAGAAATAAAGTCTGCTTTGTATAGATTAGATTGGAATATTTATATGTAAAATATATGAAAGCACCTCTGACATTATCAAATAGTTGGTAAACAAATCTACTGATTTGAAAAGTGAGTAATAAGCACACGAAACAGTATTAGTACAATGTATCGTGTAACCCAATTCCTTTATTTGATTACATTTGAGTGTTTAAATCTGCATTAAAGAAAAGTTAAATGATTTGCAAAATCATGTAGCTCCAGCTAGGGACAGAACTGGTACTAGAAGTCTGCAAGCACAGCCTTTACTTGTTTACTGCATATCAATTTTAAAGTAAGTACAGTATGAAATACATGCATAATATCACTATACCAATTTTGACAATTATTTGCTTAAAGAATTGTTTTGGTATTAATGAAACAATCTACATCTTAGCCTCTAAGACCCCAGAAGCAAGGGATTATGCTGTTAAATTTGTACTCTAAAACAATATTAGAGTGACAGTCATTAAATGCCATATCCAGGCTTTCAGGTTCATAATCAAAGAGACGGTCAACCTGCACTAGCAATTTTTCTATCAAATTCCAATATTAAAGGAACTGATTTACTGTAATGCACATGTAATAAGTGGTACTTTCTAACAGACGTGAAAACATAACAAAATTAAACAATTAAATCAAATATTGCTCCATAGCTTTAATTTCAGACCTCTTCTGTATTCAACCACTGGTTCTCTCCTTTCCACGCAAATATCTTAACTCCAAGTCCTGTGGCCCACCACTTACTGTGCAATTTTGGACATATCAGTTACTTAACCTGTCTGCTACTCAATTTCCTCATCAGTAAAAGAAGGATAGTTAAGGACCCTCTTAAATGTTGAAAGACTTAAATGACATAATGTATTCTAAACTATTTACAACAGTGCTTGGCACACAGTGATTGCTCAATACAAACTGTTTTACTGCTGTGGTTGTTGCTATTTTCTAATCCATCTCTCCTTTCTTTCAAATACATGGAAAATATATGGGAACCGAATAACCCTTGCATTTCCTTCTGAGGCATAAATCAGTTCACTTGTCCTGGATTGGACAGATGGTTCAACCTCAATTGACTTTTCTCCAAGAACTCTCCCATGAACATGTACAGAGCGTTTCTTTCCACTCTGGTCTGATACCACAACAGGACCTGTCATGACCTTAAGAGATGGGTGCATCTAAGCGTGTTTTTCTTTTTGTTGAGACTGAGTCTCACTCTGTCTGTTGCCCAGGCTGGAGTGCAGCGGCATAATCTCAGCTCACTTCAACCACTGCCACCTGGGTTCAAGTGATTCTCCTGCCTCAGCCTCCCATGTAGCTGGGATTACAGGTGTGTGCCACCATTCCCGGCTAATTTTTGTGTTTTTAGTAGAGACAGGGTTTCACCATGTTGCCCTGGCTGGTCTCGAACTCATGACCTCAAGTGATCCGCCTGCCTTGGCCTCGCAAAGTGCTGAGATTACAGGCGTGAGCAACCCCATCCGACCTAAATGTGTTTTTCAATGAACAATAATGTCGACCACCTTATTTGAATGTTTTCTACTAATGGCTATTTACACTCAGGTTTGGGTGTCAGAATTTTAAATCTTGGGAAATGTTTTTCTTAAATTTTCACCTCACTCCAAGACACATTAAAATAATGTAATAAAATAGATCTGGATTCAAAATATGGCTCAATCACTTACTAGCTATGCAGTCTTGGGCAGATTACTTAAACTCTCCAAGCCTCAGTTATTGCATCTGCAAAATGGTAAAAATATCTACACTTCACAGAATTGTTGTATAAATTAAATGAAATTATGTATCATTTGGCACAGTGTACAACACATAGTAACTGCTTAATAAATTGTAGCCATTATTATTACCAGAAAACACATCTAGTATTTATATGGAACACATTTCTTTCCAACTTCTTATAAAGAAAGCACTTATTTCATAATTCTAAAATTGGAAAATTATATCACAGTTTGTATTTTTACTAAAATAGATTGCTCTCATTTTCTCTAGTATAAGAAATAGAGCAAAAAATTCTGTAGACTCTGCCATTAAATAATCTTGTAGGCCTTTGAAGAAAACAGCAAAGGAAGTTTTAAGTTTATCAAATTCCAAAGTTAAATATAAGCTATTTAATCACCATCAACAGTACCTCTATAACATACTGTACTATACAATTGAAGAGTAAAGGTGATTTGTTCTAGAACTCTAACTTTCAAATGTCCTAACTGAAAAGACAATTCTGAAATAGCCCAAGCCACATTTATTGCTCCTCAAAAAAAAATTAATGAAAAGAAGTACATCTCTATTATATATTAAACCCTCTTAATATATAATGATTAAGTGCTTGCTTTCATGGTAAGTCAATTTTCATCTGAACTAAATACCACCAAAAAATTACTATTTGATTATAAATATTTCTATATGAAATCATATCTTTTTAATAGCCATATAACTCCTCCTTTTCTTGTATTTTCTTGTTTATATGTTATAATATATAAACACTATATAGGTTTATTAACAGCATTACTGAGCTGATCTCAATAGATAACAGAAAACCTTAAAATTCTAATTTTAAACGCACCACTCCTGTTTAAGAAAATGTGTTAAAAGTCAACTTGGTCTTCTGGGGGCTGCTGAGGAAAAGAGATTAGCATTCCCTGCCAGTTTGAACATATTCCTGAAACCAAGCTTACTCACACCCACCAAATCGTTGTTGAATAGAGTCCATTTTGTCAATGCTGACACCCAAGAAAACAGTAGACACCAAGCAACACACACTGGAGGCCAAGTGGGAAAAGCAGAACATGGAAAACTCAGTGACTCACGGGTCTTGCTTAGCACTGTGAGAGCACCATCAGCAAAGCTGAGTTGACCAATTCCAACTCTTTCTCAATCCGCAACTATGAACTGATGGAATTTAGATTTGTTTTTCTCCTCCTGCCACGCCTCTGATACTACGCATCTTCGCCCTTCCCGTCCGCCCCACAGCCCACCATCCCTGGAATAAGGACAATGGTTGGAGAGCCTCTTCTCTAAGTAGCACGTACTCCACGCCCACACGCTAGAGCCCGGCAGCATGACACTGACAGTTTTCAGTCCCTTCTGGTCTTTCCAACTCTTGGAGCCTCCACACAACTCAGAAAAAGAAGACGCGGACAGAACGCTCAAAGCGGATAGCTGAGCGTAGGAAATGCTAGTTTGGGACCTTCTGACCTCTTTGCCCCACCTGTGTCGAGGTAAGCTCGACACAGGTGGGCCAAAGAGCTGGGGCTCAAGCCAGTCACTACCTGGAATCTCCCAGAATCAAGCTGGAGAAACTACCAGCCCTAGAGGGGAAAAAAGGCTTTCGAGACTCCAGCACCACCACTGCCAGTGTGCTGGGAAATCCAGGGAACAAGGCGGCGAGCCTGGGTCAGCGCGCACCACCGCGCAGCCTGACCAGCAGCCGCCGCAGAGCTCTAGGCCACTTGGCAGGAGGCGGGGGCACCAAGGAGAGGCAAGCGGGGAACCCGCAGTTTATTTCCCAGGGGCACAGCTCAGCATGCCTGCCCACTGCAGAGCCCCCCCAACTGCCCTCGCCTTGAGCGTTTTACCTGCAAGAAGCGGGCGCAGCCCGGCCCGGGCGTCCACCCCCGCCAGTCTCGGCCGCCACCGCGCAGCCTGCCTCCAGAACAAGCAGCAGCCGCCACTGACAGAGACACAGGCCCAGCCAACTGCTTCCCATCAAACCCCGCGCTCCCGCCGCTCGCCAATTGGCGCCGCGGCCGGCGCGCGCCGCTCCCCTGTCACGTGACCCTACCCAGGGCTGGCAGTTGTTGGGGCGGGTCGGGCGGGAGGTTAGGAGCTTGTGTCTGTGGCCTCCGCAGCCAGCGTAGGCTGCCCGTTGTCGTGTGGCAGTCATGTACTGCAATTTATTATTACTCTTAGAATATAGTTATTTCTTACTCTTCCGCTGCCTGCTTTCCTTTTAAAGCCTGTTCTGCCGTCTCGCTGGAGAAGGAAACCACTGAAACTGGTCCTGGTGGTCTCAGACCGCCGCGCGAGCGAAGAGTGGGGAGGACAAAGGTTGGGAAGTTGAGGATGGAGATGGGTGCATCTGGAAGGGAGTCCGTCCTGAGGAGTCCCCCATCAGCTGTCAGCCAGTCGGCAGCAGAGCAAGTTAAGAGTACACAGCTCCGAAGAAGCCAGTTCCCAACCAAGCCAGTGGAGAAAAGTCAGCCTGGCCCCCAGGAGTGCTTGAGTCTCTGTCAGTCATGGACGTCAAAAAGGGTCATTTGATGACTGGATGCTTACCTCACCGGTGTGAGGTAAGCTTCAAACGCCATATCATGTTGCTTTAAAACCTGCGGGTAACAACAGCATAAGCTGAGTTTTCTATCTTAGAACTCTTAACCCCAAGAACACTCTTGACAGGTCCTGGTAAGTGGACCCACAAAAAACCACCCAGGCTGTATTTGACTCGGATTTGAAACGCTGCCTAAACGGTATTAAGTTTCCTCCTCAACTGGAAAAGACAAATAACATGATACCCGAATGAGAAAAATACTAGACGTGCACACAGTAATGTGTGAGCAGGGAAACTTCAGCGAAGGTTTTTATCATGCTTTAGCCCATTTATGTGCTTTACCCCATGTGCAAACATTTTTCATGATTTTTTTGTATTTACATACACAAAAAAAGTTCCGATGATTTTTAAAGAGTATAATAATTTTAATATGTTACATTTAAACTTTGACAATGCAAACAGGTTGTCAAGAGAAGAAGCTGAACATTGTCTGGTTGGTAAGAAAATTTATACTAGAGGCTACCACGTAATTCACTGTGGAATTTGCTTGCCCTAATTGCCTAAATATTTAGTTACAGTTCTGTACACTTGAAAGTCTGAGGGGAAGGGAACTACAGCTTAGTGTGTTACTGTGGATCAGGCACTTTCCAAATGTAGAAGAAAATGAACAGAAACATTTCACCTGTTTTGATATGGAAATTTAGCCATTTTGTTTTTCAATCTTTGCTGTTGCAAAGTATTAAAGTCCTGTGCAGTTTTACAAATACATCTCACCTCAGAAAGATTTCCTTTCCTAAGAAGACTGGGAAGAATGGCTTTCCACTTGCCAATAATGTGTCCTCTGGTTTCAACTGAGCCATCAATGTCTGTACTCCAGCCTGGGCTACCAAGCGATACCCCACCTCTAAAAAAAAAAAAAAAAAAAAAAGGTAGCGAGGGGACAGAGAAGAGCCGGTTGGATGCACGAGATTCCAAACACCTAATCCTGAGATAAAATTCCCTAGGCAATTGCTCTACCAAGAATAGAGATCTGACCTGGCAAAAGAATGGAGATAAGTATTTAACCATTAACTCTTTTAATCCTCCCAACAACCTTTTAAGTATAGTATCATTTTTCAAATGAGGAAACAAATGTAGAAAGATTATGTACACTGTTGAAGGTAACACTAAACCATTGCCTCCTTTATATCCTTTATAGAAGAGTTCATCAAGCAAATAAAGTGAGGGAAAGACATTACAAGCAGAGAAATCAACATACACGCTATTGTGGCTGAACTTCAGGCTACAGCGTGGTTCCAAATATTTATTGACAAGGCCCCATGTTAAGTGCTGAGGATACAGAGATAAATAAACCATTTGTCCTAAAGCAGCTGACACTAGTGAGAGAAACCTTAAAAAAAAAGATACAGTGCAGACTAAGACTATTTAAGTGCTGTGATAGAGGCTAATGTTCACGGTATTGGAAAATGATAAGAAAACAGCAGCCGGAGAGGATGTGGGAAAGCCAGTGAAGATGCTGCTTTAGCAGAGTCCAAATGTCAAGAGTTACCCCCTGCTAACCCTGAAATTGTTCTGGGATATGGTTTAAAGAAGTGAAATCCAAAGAACAACAGAGAAGAACAGCAGAGAATACTTGGAGAGAGGAAACAAATTGCTCTAACCAATGGAGTTTTAAATGGTCTAGTTTAACAAATAGGTTGAATTTATCTAGGTGCTATGAGAACTTACATAAGTGGCATTCATTGGTCTGCTCAGAGAGGTTAGGTAAGGCTTCTTTGAGGAAGTCACACTAGCATGAAAGATGAGAAACTGAAAAAGGGAGAGTGGGACACAGAGGGAATATCATGTGTAAAGCCTTTTTGTCAGGAGGGAACACTGCAAGCCTGAGGGACTGAAAGGAGGCTATTGTGGCTAGAGCCTAGGTTGCAGGGAGAAAGTGCACCAGTTTGAAGCTGGAGACCAGACCAAGCAGAGTCTTATTGGCCATATTAAGAACTGTAATCTTAAAAAGAGAGGGGGAGGGTATTTGACATGATCAGATCTGTGTTTTGAAAAGGTCATTCCAGCTGCAGTGTGGGAACACAAGCAGAGTCAACACTGCATTAATTAAACCTATGAGTGATGTTAGTGTTGGTAGGCATCTAAGTGGATTGGGGTAAGAACAAGGAGATGGACAGAAGTCGGGGAAATGGAACAATAGGAAGTAAAGTGGGAGGTCTTGGTGATGGATTCAAATATCATGGGATGGGATGGGGACTGAGGGAGAGGGAGGAGTCAGATGACTCAGAATTTCTAGCAGACCCAGTGGGTGGATAATAATGCCATCATTGAGATATGGAGGACACTGGAAGAGAGCCAGGTTTGGGGGAAGAGGGTAATTTCAATTTGAACGCGTTGCGTTTAACATATTTTTGTGACTTCCAGGGAAGATGTAAACATTGAATCTTTAGGTCTGCAGCACTGGGCTGGAGAAAAAAAAAATATATTATCGTTTGCAATTTGTTATTTTCTGCAGGGTACTTATTGTTTCAAAATACAGATATCTTTATTGTAAATAAGATGTTTTGTTTTTAAACATATTTAGAAGCACTTGAACCCAGGAGGCAGAGGGTTGTAGTGAGCCGAGATGGCACCATTGCACTCCAGCCTGGGCAACAAGAGCAAAACTCAGTCTCAAAAATAAATAAATAAATAAATATAAATATATTGAGAACAGAATTTTAAAAGTGAGTCTCTAGAGCAGTTTCCCAGACTTCTCTGAGAGTCACCAGGGTCCCTTATCAAAAACTCAAATTCTCAGGCCCATCCCCTAGAGGTTCTGATTTCACTTGTCTGGTATAGGGGGCCTGGAAATGTGAATTTTTAACAAATGCCACTGGAGATTCTTCTTATTGCTGAGTTTCTCTGGGAAGTGGTATGCCAGTGCCAGAGGCTACCTGCATAAGAGTCACCACAGTGCTTATTGAAATATAGATTCTCGGGCCCTGCAGACTAAATCTCTAGGGATAGAAGGGTTGTGAGGAATAGAAAAAGGAATATGGTACCATGTCAAGTGGTCCAAAACCTCACCCTTCATCTTTGACAGAGGTGTTCTGAGCTTCCCACTGGGCAGCCCAGAAGAAAGTGGATGTCTCTTGCTGGGTGATGCATATTTAGACAGCTGGCAGCCCTCACAACCTGCAATAATAACAGCTAATAGGCCTCCTGCCCTGTCCACTGAAATGGGACTCAGCCCACTTAGATATTCTCTTTTTCCACCTTTCCTATCAAGGCCCATTGTTCCCTCCTGGCCCCCAAATCTTTTTCAATGTTATTTCCAGCACCCTGTCTTTCTGCTCTTGGTTCAGGTGTTTTTCAGCCAATCTCTGTGGCCAGAGCTGGGAGAGGAATTGGGTCAAATGCTATGTTTCAGTCTTGACAAGGCTTTTTTGTTCCTGAGAACCGACTTTGGAAGTGTTTTTAAAGACTGAGCTGTGTCAGGGAGGAAAAACTTTTCCTCTGCTCTCTTATGTTTCCTCTTTGGGGGTCTACAAATTAAAACAACAAAGATAGCAAGAGAAAAAAAAAGCATTTAATTACATATGTAAACACACACAGACCAAGCAAGAAAGAAAGAGAAATTCACAAATAACTGTGACCCTAGATGGTTAGAATTTGGAGCTTATATATCATCTTAATAGGGGACGAAGAAGGGCAGAGAGGCCTTTCTAGGAGAGTAAATGACTTCTTCAAAGGAAGTGAGGGAGAGACAAAGCATTGAGGGAAAACAAAACACTTCTTGGAAAGACAAACGGACTTTTAGGAGAATAGATGGAAGATACAGTTTTGTAGCAATGTCTGGGTGTAGTGCAGATGTCTCCTCTCTGAGAAGAAAATATTAAGAGTTGCTCCCCAGGAGGGGATTTATAACAATTGAGTTATTTGGGGAGACTTTGCTTTTAGGCATATAAGGGATTTCGGGAACTCAAGTGCCTTCAGCTCAAAATAACTTTCATGCCATGGTAGCTTATTCTGAATCCCTTTAATTATTTGTTCTCCTTGTAGTCTTGCTGTAGCAATTACAAGTCTCTGTGAGACACTGTAGATGTTTTTGAATAGAGGAAGAATCAGAATGTATGAAGAAAAAAATGATTAGAATGATTTGTTGGTGATGGCAAGCATACAGAAAAGTTTCTAAAACTAAAGTATACTATTTAGCACAATAACACAAACACTCATGTAAACCCATATGGGCCAAAGTAGAACATTCAACACTCCAAAAGGCCCCAATGTGCTCCTTCCCTTACAACCTTCAAGTGCCTAGAGATGGCCACATCGTGATTATTACCGTATTTACTTTCTTGTTTTTCTTTCTAGTTTTACTGCCTAATTACTTATCCTTAAACAATATTATTTTTTATCTCTATGTAAATGGAATCACAGAGTAAGTTTTTCATTTACATGTCTTGAACTTTTTTGATCAATGTATGTCTTTAAGATTTCCCATGTTGATAT